AAACGAAAAAGACAACATATTGATTTTTCAGGTAAAATAAGATTTAAGCTAGACTTTCGTTAACTCGTCACCATTGGTGAATTATATAACCGATATACAGTTATTGGCCTAACCTCATAATGGCTGACCCTAAGGACAATAACTGTTTGCAAAATAAAAATGGCCCAAAACGCCAACTTTCTGAGATAAAATCAAAATTAGCAATCGGTAGATAAACACATTTGAAAGTATCATCCATCCTTTTTTATCGTCAACAATCTGTCCCGAGGTGATGATATCAGAGGCCAATGACACTCAAAATGAGACAAGAAATACGCTTGGAGAGGCCAATATCAATATTTATCGAATGATCATGCAACTACCGATACTTTCCACCAATAACATTGATGTCTCATACTTCAGGAATAATAAGATTTTGCCACAACAAATTATGTAACTTATGTTACTATTGATGGCCGAGACTACTTTCAATCGAAGAATTGTTCTGATGATATTAGAAAGTTACGTAATTTATGCAAAGAAGGTAATTAATATGCATGGTTTCAGCCCTAAACTATAATCATGTCTGTGGATTATCCAGAGCACTATGTAAATATGAAATATGTCCCGACCATGAAAGGGACTGTTTGGTTTGTGCTTCCTTAGAAACGATTGAAGAAAATCTTACAGTATACATGTATGGAGTGCCGCGAAGCAAGTGTCGCACTCGTTCGACTTTAGCGTCATCGACAGTGAAACTAATGTTGCCAAATTGTAGCAACCAGTACTAGGAAGAGTGGTTGAAATCACGTTGTTTTGGTTTGATAACATATTAGGTTGCAGCTTGCAAATCCATAACTGGGGCCAGCAATTTTGCAATGTCACGCCGAAGACTGACAACTTTTTTACAATCAGAAAGATCAGAAAGGTGTGAAAAGCAGTGAACTCACCTGCTAGGGAAATATTTGTTGCTATTAAGTAACGAAGCTGCCCCATCCAATGTATGCCTTGTGTAGTCAATAGCTGGACACTGAGAACAAAATAACAAATACAAGTTACTGTGGAATACTTTATTTTTACTGGAATTAATTTTAGCTGAAAAGGCTTTTTGGGCGTTTTGTATGGAATTTATTTTCACTATTTTTTGATGAGTTTAATGTGAAAAAAAATGTATTCGCTGGATTTTATTTTCACGGAATCATCCCTTCAGCAAAAACAGCGAAAAGAAATTCCAAGCGAAAATAAAGTATTCTACAGAATACACTTTGTTGTTACAGACATAGGATATCAGATTATTGAAAATTAACAGTGTACATTACCTCTTTAGGTGTTTTGTGAGCGGCACATAAAAATATCCACTGTTCAGTTGCCGTCATCTGCGTACAGGTATCTGGATGACATTCAGCCTAACAGAATAGAAGATAACAAGTAGGTGTTTAAACACAATACACAAGTCATGGCTTTATAATAAAAACAAACCATTAAATGTGAAAATATATATTTATTATTATACATCTGTCACCATAACGCAATAAGTTACAGCGTGCTGTAATTTTGCGGTATTTTACAAGGTATTTTCATCCTACTATATATAGAAATGCGAATTCCAAATATAGAATGATTACACGCGTAAGCGTCCTCTAATAATGAAAACAAACATGGCTGCCATCAGGATTTGACTGGACTCCACACAAAGAAGTTCTCTGATTCTAAACTTTTTGGATTTGGAAGGAAAAGATGTACAAATCTGTATTAGAAGCAACAGAAGGATGCGGTTTTTATTAGAGCATCTACACATATGAGAAAGGTGAATGTTTGGGTTC